GGGGGCAACGCAGGTGCGGTGGGATTTGCTCCCCCCAAAGACGTTGGCAATGGAGGAAACCTGAGCAGGGATTGCTGGGCCCATGGCAACGTCCCCTGTGGGTCCAGCACCCATGGCAACATCCCCATGGGTCCAGCACCCCTCATGATATCCCCTGTGGGTCCAGCACCCCGTCCCCCGTGGGTCCAGCACCCATGGCAACATCCCCATGGGTCCAGCACCCCTCATGATATCCCCTGTGGGTCCAGCACCCCTCATGACATCCCCTGTGGGTCCAGCACCCATGGCAATGTCCTCCGTGGGTCCAGCACCCATGGCAACATCCCCTGTAGGTCCAGCACCCATGGCAATGTCCCCAGTGGGTCCAGCACCCATGGAACATCCGCTGTGGGTCCAGCACCCATCGTGGTGTCCCCTGCAGACCCTGCACCCATGGCAATGTCCCTTGTGGACCCAGCACCCCTCGCAACATCCCCCATGGGTCCAGCACCCATCACAATGTCCCCTGCGGGTCCAGCACCCGTGGCAACATCCCTGGGGACCCAGCACCCGTTACAGTGTTCCCTATGGATCCTGCACCCTTCAAAATGCCCCCTGTGGATCCAGCACCCATTGGAACATCACCTACAGATCCTGCACCTATTGCAACATCTCCTGTGGATCCTGCACCCATCAGAACATCCCCTGTGGGTCCAGTACCCATCACAACGTCTCCTGGGGACCCAGCACCCATCACAATGTCTCCTGCAAATTCTGTACCCATCGTGGTGTCCCCTGCGGACCCAGCACCCACCCCAAAGCCCCCTCCAGACCCTGCATCCACCCCAACATCCCCTGTGGACCCAGCACACATCACAATGTCCCCTTCAGATCTTGCACCCATGGCAATGTCCCCTGCACACCCAGCACCCACCCCAAAATCCCCTGCAGACCCAGCACCCTCCCCAACATCCCCAGCAGACCCAGCACCCATCGTGGTGTCCCCTGCAGACCCTGCACCCATCCCAACATTCCCTGTGGACCCAGCACCCATTGGAACGTCACCTGTGGACCCAGTACCCATCATGGTGTCCCCTGTGGACCCAGCACCCACCCCAACATCCCCAGCAGACCCAGCACGCATCGTGGTGTCCCCTGCAGACCCTGCACCCATCACAATGTCCCCTGCACCCATCGTGGTGTGCCCTGCAGACCCAGCACCCACCCTAACATTCCCTGTGGATCCTGCACCCATCGTGGTGTCCCCTGCAGACCCTGCACCATCACAATGTCCCCTGCAGACCCAGCACCCACCCCAAGGTCCCCTGCAGACCCCACACCCATCGTGGTGGCCCCTGCAGACCC